CTCTTGGAGGAGAGACGAAACGTTTCATTAGAGAAGAACCCGTCCAGAAGACCTATACAATTTTTTCTTTTTGAGTTCACTTTAGGAAAAAAATATTTATACTGTTTGTGTTCTACAACATGTCTTGGTGCTGTGTGTGTTTTATAGCTCATTTAGCATTCACGTGTCAGAGACAAGAACACACAAACATAATAATATGACTGGAGAAGGTGCKAAAATGTCTAATAAAAGAAACAGCAAGTCTTCCTTTTAATGACACAGAGACAGAGGTGTATGAAGTACTTGGAAAAAACAAGTAAAAGTAAAACTATGTTAACAGAAAATGACTGGTAGAAAATCACTGGTAAGAAAAGTGCTTAAGTTTAAGTTATAAAACTGCTCACAATAGGAAAAGTAAAAGTAAAACTTGTAGACTCACTTTAAGAAATTAAGTGTTGAATTTACTGAACCAAAATATGTCAACTGGTTCCTCTAAACTGAATTGAGTAAATGTAAAGCAGGCATTTTTCATTAAAATTAAAATGTGTAAATTGCTCAATTTGATTTAGTGGAACCAGTTGACATAACTTAGTAAATTCAACATTTCATTTTCAGAGTGCAGAAACAACTCTTTTCATGATGAGTTGTGGTCATATTTAAATTTGTAATGTGTAACTAGGTGTTAAATTAAAAAAATAAAAAGTATCATTTTTATGTTTTGAATGTAATGAAATAAAAGTAAAAGTTGTGATTTAAAAATACTTGGCAAAATTACAGCGCCTCCAAAATTACTTAAGTACTGTAAGTAAATGTGCTTCATTACACCTCTGCAGAGAAATAGACATAGATGAGCTCATGATGATTATTTGTGCACCTTTGATCTACTTTTAATCCTAATTGAAGGAAATTTGCTGCATCTTTTTTTCATTATATGACTTATTCAAGGTCTGTGTCATCTGACTGTAATTAGTCACAGTGATCTTAGAGCTCACATGTTCCACTTAGCCACAGGCTTATAGTTAGAGCTATTAGTGGGATTGTTATTGCACAATATTTTCAGCTCTCATTTTACAAATCTTATAATCATGTTTCATGTTTGGTATAAAGTGTGCATCATCTAGGGCTGCACAATATATCACAAAATTACTGCACAGTTTCAACATCGCTGCTTGAACTGCAATAAATTAAAGACCATTCAAGTATTGATGTTCTGCATAAAAATAATGGTTTTAAACGAACCAACAGATTCTCACCTTGATGCTCACGCCTGGTTTAGATGATAGTGATGACAGAATTTAAAGTAAGACGTGAAGAAAATTAGGGTTTTTACCTGAAATGATTTATCACAGTAATAAAAAAATAATATCTCACATCCTACGTTTTTCTGTTTAGAGTGCCATCCTTTCCATATGATGCAAAATACGAACAGCAGCTCATTAAAACATTTCTGCTTGCCTGACAAATGAAACAGAAGCACTGCCTGCTGCTGTTTTGTTGCAGAAACTGTTGTGAGGAAGGAAAAAGGAAACAGTGGCTTGCTTTTCAGAAAGTTTCAAACACAAACCTGCAATTTTCTTTGCATTGGTGTTTACAAAAGAATTAAACAGCAGTTTTGTCAATTATCATAAATACAGTAAACCAGTGTCTTAAAGCTGATAGTGCTTGTAGTTGGACTTCAGATAAATCCTCTGTTGTATCRTTTTATTTTCTTTGTTCATCTTGATCCAAGTGTAGACATTATCTATCCATCCATTTTCTGTACACGTTTCTTCCTTTTCAGGGTCGCGTGGGTCACTGATGCCCATATCCAGCAGTCACAGTGCGAGGGGTGGGGTACACCCTGGACAGGTCGCAAGTCCATCACAGGGCCACACATAGAGACAAACGAGACAAATAACCATTCACTCTCTCACTCACACCCTAGGGACAATTTAGAGTTACCAGTTAACCTAGCAGTCATGTTTTTGGTCTGTGGGAGGAAGCCGGAGTACCCGGAGAGAACCCACACATGCACGGAGAGAACATGCAAACTCTACCCAGAAAGGTCCCTGGACCGGGATTTGAACCGGTGACCTTCTTGCTGAGAGGCATCAGCTCTACCAATTGAGCCATCAAGCCGCCCTTACATTATTAAAAATATATGGTTTGGTTCATGGTAGTTTGGTGGTTCGGGGTATCCCASTTGGTGAGATGTTAGCTACTTTTGGTTTGGGTCATTTTGTGTTAATAGCTAGATATAAAGAAACAAACAAATAAATCCTGCAGTGGCATATTGTTGCACTCCTGATGGCATACGCTGTGGCTTCACCACATAAAACTGTAACACAATTGCATCTGATGGTAGGGAATCAKTTTTTCATTCAAACCTGCAACACAAAAAGCACTGATGAAAATTTTAGACGTGACACTGCTGAAATGACTGCTTTAGAAAAGGAGAAACATTTAGATTGAATGCTGTCACTTTATTAAAGTGACTGCATTAAATGACTCTATAGCTCCCAGACTTCACATCTGCTGCCCACGGTGCCGAAAGAACTTGTCCACCTTTTGTTCAATGTGAGTAAACTGTGACTCTAAAGAGGACGAATGTGTCTGCAGCCAAAACTACAGAGTGAGTGAATGAGTATGATAAAATATGAGGAAGAGCTGAGAGCTTAATTAAGCGACCTGTCGCATGCAGAAATGTTTCTCGGTGGATCAGAAGCTGTCCTGGTTTCAGTTTCCTGCAGCTTTACCATGATTGGCTGAGTGTCCCAGATCTGTCCTGCTGGTCTCTCTCCACCCAACACAAATCATCTCACACACGGCACTACACCCGCACCTAATACAACTCACCAACAACCTCACTCAAGATAACATCCTTACCGCTGTCTATTTATTTTATTAGGTTTCAGTTTCTATTTTAAACGTGACGGTTAAACAGAGTAAGGTTTGAAAACAGCTTGAAAAAGTAATTAGTTTCTAATCTAGTTCAAGACTTCTTGGTTTAAAAAAATAATCTTTAGATTTTGCTATATTTAAACACAAAAAAGACATTCAATTCTCAATTTTTAGTTTTACCCACTGTGGAGAGAAAAACTTTATGTAGAGAGGTACTGTATCTTTTTGTTACATAGTTAGAAGCTCATCATTTTCTTTGTGTGGCTACAGCAGCAAAGCTGGTAAAGAGACAAAAAATTACTTTAAAAACACATTCCTATTTTTAAAAACACTGAAAGAAAATCTTATCATCTGTGTATTCTGTTTCTGGTGTTTTCAATGAGAAACTCTTTGATTAATCAAGATCCTCGTGCATTAAAATTCCTAATAGAAGCAAGACAGATAACGAGTAATATGGCAATTATGTTGGATCCAGAAAAGGGTCAGTATTTTTAAATAATCTCTGCTACTCTGTGTAATATAAATCATGGCTGAGAAATCTTTTGTTTCTAATCTATCTTTCTGTTTCTGTGCTAAATGGTCTATTAGAGAGACAGAGAGCAGAGCATTAATAAACACAGAGATATGGTTGTYTTAAAAGTGAGCTGTTTAATTAATAAATTAATTAAAGATAATTTGCTTTAAAGGTGATTTATGTAGAAGAAAAAAGCATCATTTGTTAGGTTAATAAATGTCCTGCACCAAAAGCACAAATTATCTTCTTTACATTAGATCACAAATTTTATGGAAAAGAAAATTATTGATACATTCACTAAATTCTTATTTTAATTAGTTTTATGGTTTCTGTGAAAAAGACGAAAAGAAAACTGGCTGAGTGCACAATTAGACACTTTTGTGCAGTAATTAACTGAGGCAGTCATTTATTTTTTGAGATACTGTTTTCTTTCAGTTTGTCTTGTTTAATTAAAATTATACAACTGACACAAAAACCTCAAGTTTTAAAGAAATGTCTGAGTCTGGTTGTATTTAAAAAATGATTAAAAAGATTACAAAAGACTCAAACATGTATTTATTGTAAAGTAGGAGGAAACAAATAATAATGACTGAGCAGGGGTTCCAAAACATTTCCATGTCATAGCCCCCAAACAGCCTCTGGCCCCTTATAAACAGTACATCATATGTAAAGAAACATCAACTTTTAAAATGTTTTTTTTCCTCACTTTTATTTACTACTCATTTGTGTAGCATAATAATTTAAACGTTTTAAACAGTTATATTCCCAACTTTTCAACCAACTGTTGACAAAAAKAACAGAACAAAAGAAATCTCTCATAAACAACATTTATATTATAATAAATTATATTTTAAAATATTATTTTAACAACAGATTTGATTTTATGACATTTATTGAATATAATTTCTTTATATTTATTTTTTTCCTCCAGCTTTCCGAGGCCCCCTTAGCGTCCCCTGGTGGCCTCCCAGTGGGCCATGGCCCCCCCTTTGAAAAACACTATCTTAGAGGAATACTGTATGTTCTCATACTTGTCTTTTATAAATAATGGAAAAAATACAGTTAAAATAAGTAAAATTGTGATTTTGTAATGATGGACCACAAAATCCAGATCGAAGGATTRTTTATTTGAACTCTTGTGTTGGACAGGACGTAGGTGTTTGTCTGTTTGTCTGATTCTGGCTGGTTTGAAACACTAACATTCACTTTAAATGACTAAACCTTTTCAAACAGACGTATATGCTGGTGTTACGCTACAAAGATTTTCTGTCTGTTTGAGAAGTCCTCCTATATACAGCCTCGCTACCAGAAATAACAGTAGACCTACACCTCTCACTGCGCCTCAAGGCAGAAAGCAGTGAAGTCAAGTAAAGAACAAAGAAGTCAAAGACAKCTATAGGAGACAGGTATTTTCAGGCCATTGAATGG